ATTCGTGTTTAGCGTCAAATTGTAAAAAAACAAAATAGTCGTAATTTAAGCAATTCGATACATTTCAGTAGTCGTATATTTCATATGAAATTATTTAAGTTATTTAGAACCTGAAAAATATAAACAACCGTTGAGATAAAATAAAGCGATAAACATTTTGAATTGTTTTAATTCAATTCGTTTTTCTTATTGACAAAAAAACTGTTTCGTTTGTAGAGATAAACTATTTTCTTTAATCCTGCATTATCACCCCCTTGGATTTCCGAAAGTGGATCCTCCCCTGTTAGTCCCCTCTTCTACACGACAACTGAGCTACAACTGCGCCACTACACGTGCTACAGCCTCCACACTTAGTCAGGAGAGTGCGTGGAGGGAGCAAAAGAAACATGCTGCCAACTCGACATTATGTGTACTTTAAAAATCTTGCAGTAACAAAATAACCACTGTTATTAAGGCATAGTTAAATAAATAAATAAATCAATAATTAAACAAAAATCAAGTTCATTATTTGGACTATTGTCCTCATCTTTGTCGCCATATTCGTTTTCCGGCCGTTGTACGCTCCGGCCTTCTTCAGGTGGTTGGAATTTCGAACTGAACCCTTTATTTCGCTCACTGAGGTAGACTGTTCTAGTTCCATGCTTGATGGATATCAGTTATCACCTGCTAATTTCCCTCTGAAAGTCCTCCACTTAACCGGGTATTGAACTCACACTCTTTGGGTCCTGTCACTGGATCAAACCAACGCCTTTATCCACTGCGCCATGTGATCTTGCGGTACAACGGCCGAAACGTTGTGATAAATATGGCGACAAAGATGAGGACTATAGTCCGGATAATGTAAATAATGTACATAATACCTCATCTCAGAAATATAGACAAAATTCAAGTTATTCTCAATTATTTTACGAAGAACATCTAAAAAATGAATATTTTAAAAATTAAAATTATTAAGATTTTTCAAAATAGTAACATTGTGTATGTTCCTGTATACACTTCCTCCGCTTGACTCTTAAGCAATGATCTAAATTCTCATATTGTCCCTTTATACTTAGAAAATAGCTTTATTTGATTAACTGACCAATTTTATTATAAAAGTCACAAACAAAACAATCACTAATGGCTAGAGATCTTAAAAAGTTAGATTAGAAATTAATAACGAAAGTGGTTTTTAAGTTTTGATTTTTTAAATCTGAATATTCAAAATAATTTAAATAAAAAAAAGAATCGCTAAACTTGACAACGAAGAAGGCATCCACAGGTAAACGATAAAAATGCATTTTTGTCGTCACTGTTTTACATAATATTTACAAAAAAAGAAAGAGGCAACTAACTCTATATATATTCATTTTTAGCGTTTCCACTAGACATGTAAACTTTGAGTTTTATGTACTTTTTTTTTAAACATTTTTCAAACTATAAACTTTGAATTTTTTTATTAGAAAGCACTGGCAGTAGTAACAATATTTAATAATATAATACAATAAGTGTTACAGCGCTCTCTTCTGGTCACACGTTGATTTGGTTCCTCTCAATCTCTCCAGCGCTAGCATTTGTGTCGTGCCCGCTCGAAGTGATTGGGTTTGATAATGAATCGGAGAAATTGTATGAATCACCCAAACAATTTTTGTAGGACATTTTCTTTGCGCGACAAGTGCAAGAAGGTTGGCACCGAATAAAATTATTCTTCAAGTATTATTTCATTTGTAAAGTTAGAAATCAAATGGTGAAATCTCATATACGCTGTAAAATATCTTATATGAGGCTTACACTCTGGTTGAATGGCAGGCAATGCCTTTGACGTGAGCTAACCTATCCATGCCTAATTGTTATTTTTATCAATCTGTATGTCTGATTTCTCAAAGAAAAGTTAATAACAATTGCTTTTGCCGATTTGAGTTCTACTTTGAGAATTCTATTCAGGGGTCTAACATGACTTTAAAACATCAGAATTTCTCGCAATTTAGTCAGGATTCTCCTCTAGACGAAGATTAGGAAGTTGAATCTAAAAAAAGAAACGTGATGATCTTGTTGCATCAAGTAGATATGAACGGTTTAACAAGAGACTTGTTAATGTGAAGGTAGATATTTTAGAATCCAGTTTCCAGCAATGGCATCTTTTACAAGAAGGTAGGAGATTTCCATTAATTATTTCCACCAAGAAAATTTAGCTGTCTTTTCCAAGTCAAGCTTTCTTCTCTACTGCCGTTAATTATCACATGTATCAAGAGGGATATAAGCGTGTGGCTGGCGATTGTTTGGTTAAGTGATTTGGTTTAGCGGCATATCAACAACTCTTTGGGTTATTTAATGCCGAAATCTAAATATTTTGAACGTAATTGTATGCCTTCAACTACAGATGAAATATATGACTTGTAAGTTTACTATAAATATGTATTGTTGGTAATTGTTTATATAAATGTATTGCTGCTATTTTACTATAAAAATGTATTTTTATACTATCCTAATGATTTTTTTTGTGGGGGGGGGATTTACTATTTGTCCATAGCTGGGACACAAACAGGTGCTACTACTTCGGGTCAGGGTGGACCTGGGAACAGTAGCAATTAAGAAGCGCTTTAAGATTCGTAAAAACCTCCTATTTCCACATCAGAGGCCTTTCTGTTAGATGTAGTTTATTGTCATGGCCATGACGAGCCTCGCTTTGGAGATGGTTTATGAGAAAATCTCTCATTGCTCTGGATCAAAGAAATATATGGTACGATGGAATTAATTCAAATAGAAGTTTTAATTCCTCATTAATCAAAGTGATTATTCTGAGACTGCAGCTGAGGTATACGAAAATTTTATTTAGTTGTCGGGTCTATCAGACATTCGCGATGACAGACATTATTAGTCTGTAAAAAAATCGGAGCTAAAAAAGAGTTGGTCAGTAGAATTGTAGCGCATATGCCATTAGTTGATATTCCTTTCACACTTTTACATTAAACACTTACACACTTCCTTGTAGAGATCGTTAGATGGTCGGTAGAATTGTAGCGCATATGTCATTACTTGATATTCCTTTCACACTTTTACATCAAGCACTTACACACTTCCTTGTAGAGATCGTTAGTTGGTCGGTAGAATTGTAGCGCATATGCCATTACTTGATATTCCTTTCACACTTTTACTGCAAACACTTACACTTTCCTTGTAAAGATCGTTAGTTGGTCGGTAGAATTGCATATGCCATTAGTTGATATTCCTTTCACACTTTTACATCAAGCACTTACACACTTCCTTGTAGAGATCGTTAGTTGGTCGGTAGAGTTGTAGCGCATATGCCATTACTTGATATTCCTTTCACACTTTTACTGCAAACACTTACACTTTCCTTGTAAAGATCGTTAGTTTGTCGGTAGAATTGCATATGCCATTAGTTGATATTCCTTTCACACTTTTGCATCAAACACTTACACACTTCCTTGTAGAGACGTCGTTTTTCGTCTTACAGGTGAGAATTCCTGCTCAGGAAACTCGAACAAACATTAAAGAGGACAAGTCGAACACGACTCTGAATCTCCTTTGGCCACATTGTGACTATTAATAACTAACCCAACTCACATTGCAATAACTTGAACTATTTTACGTGTCATACCCACAAAGGACCCTCACGTTACACTTGCTAGAAGGATAAGTTAAGGCGTGTTGAAATTCGGAACCTTTCACAGTCAATAACCGTCGACTCCCTGCTTACAAATTGACAGCTACGTTAGGTATGTCACGTCAGCGCATACCTTCTTCGTGATTTCTCTGGTGAATTTGAATCAAGTGAAAGGACCGTCAGTGGGCAGTGGTCAGTACAAAAGATAGAGGAATCATATCAGTATAAACCTGCAGACATTGTAATATCCTGTCTAGCTAATTAGAAAAGTTGGCAACTTGTCTGCATGGACGTTGTTCATAACATAGAAACAAAGGAAAAGGATGTCATACACAGAATACTGTCATCAAAAATCTTTTGGATATCCTGCATGAGGAAGAGTGTGAAGTTCCTGTGAGAATCCATCCATCGTGAAGGGCACCGTTCAAATTCACCTGAAAAAAGAAAATTCTACATAAGTTTGCTTATTGTAAAACCTGTGGCACTAGATGCTTGTCGATTTCAGTGACATAAAATTGAAACTAGAGATCGATATCAAATAATTGATTGATAATTGAAAGATAAACTAGATCCACTTAAGCCGCCGGCATGAGATTCCTCCAATCTTGACAGATGTTAACAGCTTATCTATGATTGGAATATTGAATGTTTCTGAAAATACATTTCTTACCTTCTCATTTTGATTTTTTTCCAATCGATCTCCTTTTTGATATCACACAGTTGAATCGAGTTTGGTTAGAGTGGACGACGCCTGTATAGTTTAAAACCTGAGATTTCAGTTTCAAACTCTAGTACTGAACTGATGCAATAATTTAGTCCAATATAAATTCGAGCTTCTGGAACGGTTCGACACTTGAGGTCTTCTCTTCGGTTAAAGACAATGGTTTTTTTTTTACTTTTTTTTTAAAAACGTTCCTAAAAGGAAAAATTGTGAAAGCCAGAAATATCTCCATCGCTGTGATATTGTTTCGTAATTACAAATAAAGAAAAACGTGTAAAAAAGTGAGGTCCGGTTTTGATTCCATGTTTTTTTGGAATGTGAACCTCGTTACAATAAAATATGCATTAAGGGAAATTAATTCAGATGTTGTTGTTAGTCTTGCTTCTTAACTTCGTGTCTATTCAGGAAGTAGTTGGTCACGGTCTTCCACGGTTTCCGCTTCTATTCTTAATATCTATAAACTGTGATTTGCAAAGACTTCTTGGAAAAGAGACGCGTAGTTTCTCATTACATTCTCTGCAGTTCTGAATTCATAGTTTTAGTCCTTCTAGACTGCCAATCAAGGCTAAAGTGTTCAGTCTGTCCTATTATTTAATCTCTAGCTGGGGGTCTATTGACCTTTCTATCCCTTTTGCCCTTGTAAAATCATTAGTTCCTGACACATGAACTTACTCGGGTGATTTGTGGATGGTCGTGTCTCTTCAGTGATGCTCATGTCATCATTCTTATTTCCATAGCAACTATCACTGGAGAGATCATCTTCACTGTCTGTAGAATAGGAAATAACGATCAGCGTGTGTACATTGAGAGGCGCCATCACCACAATCATCGCCGGCAGCGTCTGTGGAAAGCCGGCGGTGGCGACAAGCAACAGCACCAGTAGACATCGCCGCCCCCCTCCTCCTCCTGCGCACCCTTACGACCCTTACAGACACTGCTGATGTAGGTGTAGGTGTGAGGAAGATCGAAATGGAGGATGTACATAAGGAAGACGTTTCAAGATGGAAAAAAGGACATGAAAAAAAAGAAGAGAAAAAAAGAAAAAAGAATGTATGAAGGAGAGAAAAAAGTAAGACGGAAGAAAAGAAGGAAAAATAAAAGAAGGAAAAGCAGCACAGAAGTGAATGATTTAAAGAAGAAGGAAAGAGAGAGGGAAGCAAAGGAAAGTCAAAGGGAAGAAATGGAAAAAAGAGAGAAGAAAAAAACGAAGAAAAGAAAAAGGAAAGAGAAAGGGAAGCAAAGGAAAGTCAAAGGGAAGAAATGGAAAAAAGAGAGAAGAAAAAAACGAAGAAAAGAAAAAGGAAAGAGAGAGGGAAGCAAAGAAAAAGAGAAGACAAAGGGAAGAAAAGGAAAAAAAGAGAAAAGGAAAGAAAAAGAAAGTGAAAAGGTAAGAAAAGAAAAGTAAAGAAAAGTAAAAGGGGAAGTAAAGGAAAGACAAAAGAAGAAAAGGAAAGAAAAAGGAAGAAAAGAGAAGAAAAGGAATGAAAAACAAAGAAAAAAGAAAAAGTATAGACTGATGTAGTGAAATATAGTAAATAAGTAACATGAAAGACTGAATGAAAGTTTGAAGGAAATGCCTTTAAAAAGAACAAAAAGGTGGAGGCGGAATTTGCAAAAAAAAAAAAAGAAAATGAAAGGTGCATTATGGGAAGATGTTAATCAAGCAGATAAAGGCCGAAATGTGGGTACCGGGGAACGAACAGTGAGAGAGAGAGAGAGAGAGAGAGAGAGAGAGGAAGAGAGGGAAAGAGAGGGAGAAGCTGTACTGATGGGTCAGACACTTTGACCTTCTTGAGTGCTAAAATCCTTCGTCTTCGCGGATCCGCATCCCTCTTGCCTCTACCCATGTACCCTCAAGACCTAAAACCCCACCCATAAAAGAGAAGGAGAGACATGGAAAATAACGAACCGGCGCCTGAGATGAAGACGTTGCACTTCTATGGCCTTCTTCTTATTATTATTTTTTTATTTTTTGTTTTAATTCCATGACTTTCTTGCTTATTTCATTTAACTGTCTGTTATTTTTGCTTTCTTTTTCTCCCAGAGAAATCAGCAAACATCGCTTTAGAAAAACGTGCTCGCCCGGGAGCCATCTTATTAAATACACATGTCATCTTCTTTTAATAATCTAGTGGGTTGCGTGGAGGAAAAGCAAAAACGGAGAAAGAGAATGCGTTTGAGTAAAAAAAAAAAAAAAAAAAGAAACAAAAGGAAATAGTGAATGAGAAAGAGAACGAGAGTAAAATCCCATAATAAAAGAATCAGGAAAAAGATGAGTGCAATTGAAAAGAAAAGGACAAAAAGAAGCAAGGAAGATTCAAAGACGTAGAAAGAACGACAGAGTTAAGAACTGATAGAAAACGGTGGTGAAATGGGAGGGTAGGGGCGTTGATTGGAACTCAAGGAGGGGGGCATTTGGGAGAGATTTTTTCGGCAAAATTCATATAAACGACGATTACTGCGAGACACATGATATATCAAATATGGTCGAGTTATCGGCGGGTGTATACGTGCGTGTGTATATGGTTGTAAGTTTCCTAATTTTGAGAACGGGATGGTGGGGTAAGAAGAAAAAAGAAGAGGAAAAAACGAGTGGGTTGCAGGTCGGGTATGGTTCGGTTTTGCTGGGGGCGGTGAGTGGTGAATGGCCCCCATTTCCGTTTCTTGAGATTTTGGTAAAGTGATATTTAGTAACAGTTCCGGGCTGACGAAAATTGACGAAAATATCCGAGTATGAACGATTACTATAAAGCTGTCGTCTGTTTAAGAATTGCAGGCGTACGCTTTGTACGGCTTCGTGGATTCATCTTTATATATTCATAAGCACAGGCTGGTCGAGACGAACATTCCATACAACTTCAAGATAGATAGACAGATAGAATGATAGATAGAAAGTCAACCAATGGTCACAAGTGCGATAAAACAAACTATCTTTAATACTCTTACTCGTTCCCTGTGTTTGCATAAACTTAAATATGATGTTAATATTCGAAGATCACAAAATAAACTTTTAGTTGTCGTAAGGCATATACAATAATGTGTGACTGTATGCATATAAGTGTTTCTAAGTGTGCCACTCCGTGTATATATATATGTATATGTATATATGTATGTGGGGTGGGTGCGCCTGTTTTGTGTTGTCAGTTAAGAATAAGATTCATTTTGGTAATGT